GGGCACGCCAGAAACCTATGATTGTGGGTTCGCCACGATTATGTTTCTAGGTTTGTCAGCACCATAACCGTGCACGTGAGTTTCACAAAAGTGGTAAACGTCTGAGATCTGCATCACTTCGGGCTTTCCTCCCACATTCAGCTGACACGCCGCGATATAACTAGAATACTGTTAAAAGCGGCGTTAAACCTAACTCACTCACTCACTCCCTTTAATCCATCTGTATCAATAAGCAAGCAACATGACGGCAGGTGGACACCGGAAATGTCTTTATTTGGATTGTTTTAACCACTAGGCTATCAAACTGCCACAGGAATCTAAACATAGGTACAATACACCATTATCTAAGCAACATAAAAACGTGTGATATTATTGCAGAATCATGACACCATACGGGTTATTGGGTAACTTCGTTGTAAACGTTGTTAATCACGCTGGTTTAAATTACCCTAAGGAAAACAATGTGCAAAGCTCTTTATTAGTTATTGGAATATTAATAATAGGGTTGACATCACTCACTCATTCTGAGTGAACATGTTATTGGAATATTAATAATAGGGTAAATATCACTCACTCACTCTGAGTGATCATGTTATTGGAATATTAATAATAGGGTTAACATCACTCACTCACTCTGAGTGATCATGTTATTGGAATATTAATAATAGGGTTAACATCACTCACTCACTCTGAGTGAACATGTTATTGGAATATTAATAATAGAGTTGACATCACTCACTCACTCTGAGTGAACATGTTATTTGAATATTAATAATAGGGTTGACATCACTCACTCACACTGAGTGAACATGTTATTGGAATATTAATAATAGGGTTAACATCACTCACTCACTCTGAGTGAACATGTTATTGGAATAGTAATAATAGGGTAAACATCACTCACTCATTCTGAGTGAAAATGTTATTGGAAGGGTAAACATCACTTACTCACTCTGAGTGAACATGTTATTGGAAAATTAATAATAGGGTAAACATCACTTACTCACTCTGAGGGAACATGTTAAGGACTCGTGAAGATCAGGAGTATAATAGGTCTTCAGCAACCCATGTTTGCCATAAAAAGCGACTCACATTCGGGATTTCCTTATGCGTCGTGCAGTGGGATAGTCTAGTGGTTAAAGCATTCGCTCGTCACGCCGAAGACCCGGGGTCGATTCCCCATATGTGTACAATGTGTGAAGCCCATTTCTGGTGTCCACCGCTGTGATATTGCTAAAAGCGGAGTAAAACCATACTCACTCACTCACTCACACTGGAGCCTCTTGGACGTGATCTGCGTGAATTGCAGTCCCTTCATTCCCTTCGCCCCTTCAACTGATCCTGACGTAAGAGGCGACTAACGGGATTGGGTGATCAGGCTAGCTGACTTAGTTGATGCATATCATCGTATCCCAATTGCGTGGATCGATGCTCATGTCAATCCCATGGTTGTCTTGTCCAGACTTGATTATTTACAGACCGCCATCATATGGCTGGGATATTGCTGAGTACGGCGTTAAACGACAAACAAATAAACCAAACACAAGTAATGGCAAGGAAAATAACAAATGAAATGCTTATGTCAAACGATAAGTATTGATAAAGATCTTGAAACGTTGACAACGACATATTTATCCGTAATTACATATTTGTTTACTTTAAAGCATCCTTAGTAGTTGGGACACATAGTGGACCGTTTGGTATTTTTATTTTATTTGCTCGGTTTCTTCTAATTATTCTTTATATATTTTATTCTTCCTTCAGCTTTGTGCGCTATCTCAGAAACGACAGATAGTAGAGCCATGGAACTTGTGTATGTGCATAGAAATTGTTAGATTCCAGCTACCTCTCAACAACGAGCACCTGTTTGTTATTTACAGTTTTTCTTTAAGTGGCCATTACTTATATGTCATTCAGCCTAAAACAATAGTCTTGGTACATGGTCGCATCTAGGGACACTATTGAATATGACTTTATTTTCGTTACCACCTTGCAATGGTAGTCTCAGCACAGCTGATTGATAAATATTAAGAGATTTCGTTCAAAGTTGGTATTTAGGAACAGTGTATGTTAGGTTTCAAACTAATTTTGATTGGTCAATATGTAGATATTACCCCATGTCTTAATATAATGGCAACGGAACGAAGTCCTCTGATTGGGCGTAAGTTAGATAATCAAGCCTAGTTTTTTAGCCAGGCACACTTCCAGTTTTCTAATGATTCGTATTTGAACTGTTCACTTTGATCTGGTCGTGCAAGCACCAAGCAATGTCTTAAAATACTAACGATAAGATTTCCAATAAATCAGGAAGCAACCGCACTCCAATTTTACCATGCTCCAATGCCTCTGTTGATCTATGTTATAGGAGATGAAATAAAAGCGGACTGAGTACACGACCTTGTTGTAAGCCAATAGAACACTCAAAGTTGTCTGTATAAGCATTATTTCATCTCACACAGGCGTTCACCTAGGCATAAATACCTTTGGGAGACAGTACACATTGCTCTAATTCAATACGACTCACAGAATCCAAGGCCTTTTTACAATCTACAAAAGACATATACGGCTTTATTTTTCCTGTTTAAAAGACTTTATTCCCTGTAACGTGAATATGTGATCTGTGGTAGAGCAGACTGGTCTGAAGCCATGTTAGGTCTCATTAAAACATCCAAGTCAAACAGCTTGTTAAAGAGAGAATTTTACAAAAGCATCACAAAGCCCAAAACCAAACTGTAAATTATTATCTTTCATAATTAAAATTAAAATGATAGCAAAACATTTCTGTGAATTTATCCCCTACTCGTACGAATTCTGGTCACGGGATCTCATGCAAAATAACGTTAATTGTGAAAGTTTGATGCACGTGCAACACAAAGTTATTTAGACATTTTGGGTATAGAAACAGTGTAGCTCTAAAAAACACAGCTACCATGCCAAAGCTATCGAAAGCTAAGAATCAGCAGGTTGATGACACGTTAGAGGCAAACTGACCATACCTTGGACAGGCCCAGGAGAGGCAGACCATCCGTCATGACCTCCAACGAAGACCGATATCTACGTGTCTTACATCCAAGGAACACGTCACAGTGACACCATCGTCAGCATCTAACCCTGGACATCCTGTCACTCGAAGAACTGTTTCCAGGAGACTACGGCAACATGGTATTCATGCCTTCAGACTGTACCGTGGAATATCAACATCGAGGTCAAAGACTGAGATGGGAACGGACCGTCATCCAATGGCAAAGCAGAAACTCGGAACGTATTGGTCAGTTCCAGCTCTTCAGTCCTGATGGCAGAGTTCGTATTCACCTTCGATAGGGAGAGCGAACGGCACGTTGTTGCATTCACGAGGTCGAGCCATTCGGAGGAGGTGTGGCGCTTAACTAGGGACAACAGCACACAGACCTCATAGTTTTCAACGCCAATCTCACCGCACAAGGTTGAGGTAATTTGGTCAATTGTACTCCCTTATCTGCAACAAAAGCCTCGGACCATATTCCAGCGAGACAAAGCCCGACCACACAGCACGAATCACCATGAACTTGCTCAGTGCCAACAATGTGAACGTTTTGCCATGACCAGCCGGATCCCATGACATGTCCACAAATTGAACATGTGTGGGATCCTTTGGGACCTAAACTTAGAGCAAGACAAGTTCCCGTGATAACTAGTGAAGGTTAATTGCAAGCACAAGTCTGGCGATGGCGCCGCATTCCGCCTCAAGTCATTCGACGTCTAATGTACTCCACTCGATTTAGATTTAAAGCAAGAGCCTGTATTGATGTCCGTGGTCGGGACAAACGGTATTAACAAAATTGTGTGACGATGTGACAATCATGCCACTAGGACTGAGGAGGTGGGGGGTTGGGGGGGGGGGGGGGGGGGGGGGGGGGGGGGGGAGAGAGGCTTGAAACGGTCTCAGGTAGGGAGGACATGACGTTATATTTATTTAATGTAATGCGAATATGTAAATAAACTTTCATGTGACACATTGTGTGAAAAAAAAGTTAGTTTATTGCCAATCCTCATCGTGGAAGGCAGGGGAGACAACGCAATTGTTGCAATCGGGGATCCTGGAAGGTAGTTCCGGTCCATAATCACATCGTGTAAACGTCAAAAGGTGAACTTCATACTTAAATTTTAACCATCGACGGGTCATGTGGGCAGTAAATAAAGCAATCACATCACCAGAATTCTCTGTAACTTTAAAATGATACTTAAAATTCAGTTAACCTCTATGGAGCAAGAGTATCAGTGGTTAAGTAAGTCTTAGCTGCTGTAACACGAGGAGCCAGGAGCCGTAATAGGCGCATATCTTTCGAAGGTGAAAAAGAGATTTATTTATTCTCAAACCAACATCATCGTTTACATCAACTGAGATGTGTTGGCAATGTACAATTATAGATCTTTTAACCATCATGAATACAAAGCCTGATAATCTGCCATCGCCAATTTAGCAATACATATAGCTGGGGTATGGATAGAAGTTTGTCTAGAAATGTTTCTGGCAAATATTTTACATCAAACATTGTTTTTATAAGTAACATAATCAACTTATTCTTTGAGACTACAATATTTTAAGTTAAAATATAAGAGGAAATTTATTTTCTGCAGCTGACAATTGCTCAATATCTCGTGTGTTTACCATCAGCGTAAAGTATTCCCTAGCAAGTCGAATCCGAAATAAGAGTATGGATCACAAGTTGGGGATCACCGCGATCCAATTCCACTGGGAATGTTGGTGTTACACTTCACAGTTTGTCCCTCGCAGTAATTCATATGGTATAGGTTAAGTTTAACCGTCTGCAGTTGATACTTGTGGCACAATATAAAAGATATAAACAGCAAACAATTATAGCACGGGAGGATGTACACCATACAAGCGTAAACAAGATAATTTACCTTCATGTACATTTTTTAAGGGTTGACAGTATCTTACCGTAGTAGAGTTAATTGCACAGGGCGTATTTACATATGTAACTGTTGTCCTTTTTCAGTCCAAGATGGACAACATTCCCCATGCATCTCTGTTGGACTCGGCAAAAGATAAAACAATGAAGGACTCGCCATCCGAAACATCACCGACGGAATGGACATCTGAGACATCACTGAAGGACTCGCCATCCGAAACATCACCGACGGAATGGACATCTGAGACATCACTGAAGGACTCGCCATCCGAAACATCACTGACGGTATGGACATCTGAGACATCACTGAAGGACTCGCCATCCGAAACATCACTGACGGAATGGACATTTGAGACATCACTGAAGGACTCGCCATCCGAAACATCACTGACGGTATGGACATCTGAGACATCACTGAAGGACTCGCCATCCGAAACATCACTGACGGAATGGACATTTGAGACATCACTGAAGGACTCGCCATCCGAAACATCACTGACAGAATGGACATCTGAGACATCACTGAAGGATCCGGCTTCTGTTCATTCGCTGAAGGATTTGGAGGAAAGTCAGGAGAGTAAGTAATGACAATATTATAATGATTATTGAAAGAATAATGTTTAGTCGTAAGAATGTGACAGTTCATGTTTGACGGTGACATCAGAACTTCAGCGTGTCATGTGCATTCTCCAAAATGCATTTTTTTTCAGAAATCAAATTTAGGTATTTAAATCTGCTATCTTGCAATGTTTAGGTACAGGAGAAAACACGTCTCCGAGGTTTAAGTTGAAAATGTAAATGCGAGAGGAGGGAATAGCACAAAGACCGTTTAAACAACATTAATAATATTTGTTTAAAGTCAATTATAAAAGTGGGTTAGCATAGGCTGAAAAACACGCTCATAAAATACACATGGTCAGGAAATACACGCTGCACGTGGTACCTTCCAATGTACCACATCTTGTTATCTAGTTCTGTGGTCTAATGGATAGAGTGCCTGATTAATGATCAGGAGGTTGTGGGATAGATTCCATCATTCATTATCAAACCGTTTTTATTCTGGTCTCTGATTATAGAACATTGAGTCAAAGCTATATCTGCGACTAAACTCACCAGGTCTTGCTGGGAAAAAGTAAAATCTCACGGAGGTTATAACAAGACAAATCTAAAACAATGGTCAATATCCGTAATAGATTTAAAATCAATATGAATGCGTTCTACAGGGTAGTCCTTTAAAAATACTGAGCTACCGTTACACAATAATCAGCCGATTGGTGAGAATACAAGGTCAAACAATGCTGTGAAGGACCTTTAACGATCATGGCGATCTCCTGTGGACACAGGACACTGCTTTGATTAGTACGACGACATTCATTGCCTACTAGTCCTGTCCTGAAGCGACAATGGCTACCCAGAACCTCCACCAGAACCTCGAGGAACCGCTTCAGAGCGGCAGGAATGGCGTTCAGGAGATTCATCAAACGCCATTATGTCACCATCAGAGGTTTCGTTTGACATGGTGTTTTACACGACGAGCTTAGAATCTGAGAACCTGTCGGAAAAGAGAGCCTCGGGGATCATTTAGAGGTGTATCTCACACGAATGAAAGCTGGACTTGATCACCATACAACGCAACTTCACAAGTAATCAGCACCGACCATGCGAGATGTCCTGGAAGCAGTTGTTGACCCCCATTTCGACAACCACCAACTCGCCACGAGGCCTCCGATCATGGATAATGACGCCAGACGCCGCCGCTGTTAGAATGTGTTATTATTATATAATGGATGTTGTTTGGGTATAATAGTGACTATTATATATTTTATCTTCATTGGTGGTTGTGAGGGTTTCGTTGTTGTCCATTTCAAAACTGTTTTTCCTGCAGGTTTTGATGATATAGAAAAGCTTACAGAAGACTTGGATATCGTGGAAAAGGTAACACATATTTAACATTCTACCATGAATTTGTAAAATTGCTCGATTCTGATTGGCCAATCAGAGGCTATTAAATCACAATAAACCCCTTCTTATTGAAACAGCCGGTTTGGGGGACGCATCACCGCGGAAGCTAATATGAATAGAATAGTACTTTTTTCAGTCATTGTCGGTAGGCATTTTTAATTAATAATATCAGCAATTATAGGTGACAAAATGCAAAGTTGCGGTTACTCCAATATTCAAAGTATTTGTGGCAATACATTTTGTCCAGAAAACACGATATAAATCTATAAAAAGAATGTATTTACGTTTTGGAGACACAGAGAGCCTGGAATTTGGCGCTTTTTTATATACGACTGAGACGTCATATCTTTTGCGTCACAATTTGCAATATGACGTCATAATGGTGACACGCAGTATAGAACGAAATACTTGCAAAGCTTGCTTAGTTTTCTTTAGGGATGCTCACCTCATGTTACCTTCGCAAGTTGCCGTGCTTTTATGCTTTCAATGCCTGTCATATGTTCGAATGAACTATTACGGTGTAAACACACTATTTGAGCACATACAACGCCATACTTTGTTTAACATTTGAAACCTCATGCTGTGCGTTCGGTTCCAAATTCAATATAGCGCTGTTAAATCTACAGGTAACCTGGCTCTACATTGAGAACACAGTAACTTTATCTCCTAATTATGGTACAGAAATCATCAGCATCCTTAACGTGGTTACAAAATGACAGTCAAATCAAGGAACGTGTTGCAAAACATTTACACACTGGTTGTGTCATGGGCGCCGGATCCGGGGTGGTGGTGGTTTCCTTGGCTTGTTCTCACTCCATAAATATTAGCACACACGCAGCTATCTTGTGTGTGAGTGAGTTGGGTTGAGGCGAGGCGAGGACTATAGTTATAATTAATGTACATTTGAGCAGATGAAACACAAAGGGATTTTTTTTGCACAAACGTGAGACGGTTGAACCCTATTTTATGATGACAAAGTATGTTAATCATGGTTACTCAAAAACAAAACAATCTGTGGTTGCAGAACAACTCACATGTATTCATCGCTACTTATAACAAAATCACTACACGATACCCACTATGACTCGAGTGAGTGAGTGAGTATGGTTTTACGCCGCTTTCAGCAATATTCCAGCAATATCACGGCGGGGGACACCAGAAATGGGCTTCACACAATGTACCCATGTCGAGAATCGAACCCGGGTCTTCTGCATGACAAGCGAATGCTTTAACCACTAGGCTACCCGACCGCCCCTCTGTGACTCGTGATAAGCAGTGTGGGTAAGGACGAATAATAATGAATATGTATTTAAATCCTGTTAGCTTGGACTTTATTTCTTTTATAAAAAAGATTAGAATTAAGTATACTATGCTCTAAAAAATAAAGTGAATGGGTAGAGGCTTTTGGATTAACGCTGTTTAGAGCATTGAATCAATTATATCACACAATGTCAGTTTAATGAGTGAGTGAGTGATTATGGTTTTAAGCCGCTTTTAGCAAAAGTCCAGCAACATCACAGCGGGGTTAATGATAGAGGAATGGCCAAGTCAACATTAAATTTGTTGTATTGCACCTTAAGCTAATGGTGCAACCTCGTGCCCATCTCCCTGCTCCTCGTGTCCTTCAACGCACGCACACACATGCTCACATGAATACTAATGTATACACAGACGCACGCACGCACGCATGTGAATCAGGCAATGCTGAGATATCTGGTTTGTTTCAGGAGAAGGACAAAGTAATGCTGCAGCTGAGTCCTCTATATACAGGTAGGAAGTCCTCTATATACAGGTAGGGAGGTCTCTATATACAGGTAGGGAGTCCTCTATATACAGGTAGGGAGCCCTCTATATACAGGTAGGGAGTCCTCTATATACAGGTAGGAAGTCCTCTATATACAGGTAGGGAGTCCTATATATACAGGTAGGAAGTCCTCTATATACAGGTAGGGAGTCCTATATATACAGGTAGGAAGTCCTCTATATACAGGTAGGGAGTCCTCTATATACAGGTAGGGAGTCCTCTATATACAGGTAGGGAGTCCTCTATATACAGGTAGGGAGTTCTCTATATACAGGAAGGGAGTCCTCTATATACAGGTAGGGAGTCCTCTTTATACAGGTAGGGAGTCCTCTATAGACAGGTAGGGAGTCCTCTATATATAGGAAGGGAGTCCTCTATATACAGGTAGGGAGTCCTCTATATACAGGTAGGAAGTCCTCTATATACAGGTAGGGAGTCCTCTATATACAGGTAGGGAGTCCTCTATATACAGGTAGGAAGTCCTCTATATACAGGTAGGGAGTCCTCTATATACAGGTAGGGAGTCCTCTATATACAGGTAGGAAGTCCTCTATATACAGGTAGGAAGTCCTCTATATACAGGTAGGGAGTCCTCTATATACAGGTAGGGAGTCCTCTATATACAGGTAGGGAGTCCTCTATATACAGGTAGGGAGTTCTCTATATACAGGAAGGGAGTCCTCTATATACAGGTAGGGAGTCCTCTATATACAGGTAGGGAGTCCTCTATAGACAGGTAGGGAGTCCTCTATATACAGGTAGGGAGTCCTCTATATACAGGTAGGAAGTCCTCTGTATACAGGTAGGGAGTCCTCTATATACAGGTAGGGAGTCCTCTGTATACAGGTAGGAAGTCCTCTATATACAGGTAGGGAGTCCTCTATATACAGGTAGGGAGTCCTCTATATACAGGTAGGAAGTCCTCTATATACAGGTAGGAAGTCCTCTATATACAGGTAGGGAGTCCTCTATATACAGGTAGGGAGTCCTCTATATACAGGTAGGGAGTCCTCTACATACAGGTAGGAAGTCCTCTTTATTCAGGTAGGGAGTCCTCTATATACAGGTAGGGAGTCCTCTACATACAGGTAGGGAGTTCTCTATATACAGGTAAGGAGTCCTCTATATACAGATAGGGAGTCCTCTATATACAGGTAGGGAGTCCTCTACATACAGATCGGGAGTCCTCTATATACAGGTAGGGAGTCCTCTATATACAGGTAGGGAGTCTTCTATATACAGGTAGGGAGTCTTCTATATACAGGTAGGGAGTCCTCTATATACAGGTAGGGAGTCCTCTATATACAGGTAGGAAGTCCTCTATACACAGGTAGGGAGTCCTCTATATACAGGTAGGGAGTCCTCTGTATACAGGTGGGATACTTGAAATAGATTTATCCCTCGATCACTCATAAAACATTTGACAAGTACAATTAACATGATGATATGTAAACTTTCTTTTCATTCCTCAGCTGAGTGGCAGAACACATTAAGCTACGTGGACCGGAACATGCCACGATTTGATACTGTAAGTGTTATGTTGGTGTCAACAAACGAATATCAGATCAATAACGTTCATCGGTAGAAAGTTGTCTCAGAGTCACTGTCAATTAATTAAAGGCTCCAAGGAGCATCGAACTTTTATACACTCTTATAACCTGGTACTCATATCTTCATAGGGATTAAGGTTGATCTGATTCATCTGACTGTCTTGCCTTTACAGACTGACTATGAACGCCAGGACCATCTGATGTTCGGAGATTCTTCTGAGACACCACGTGACTTCCCAGGTGAATGTAACAACTTCAGTGTTGTGTGTAATGGGTGGGCACCTTTTAGTGTCGAGATATCACATTTTCATATGTTTTAAGTCCACTTAGTGCAAACGCTATTTCGATAATTAGTGTACCTATCAATTATTCATTGTTGTAAAATATTTGGTTTAACTGTCAGTTAACTGTACAAGTTAAGAACGACGATGTCATATCAGGGGCAAATGTGTAAATGTATGTATACAATAATTTTCCCAATATCAATATTCGACAGCACTTGTAGGGATAATAAGCTGGTCTAGTTCTATGGTACGCACACAATTATGTCCCCTTACGTACAAAAGACAGGAGGATAGTTAACCTTTTTGCGAACACCTGGCATCACCAGTACTTGATAGTGATTCATGAATACATGCTAATAACATCTTACAAAATCTTACAGTGGACAATAGTAACTATTATGGTCATGGAAAGGGCTTTGTCGCTTGCATTCCCCAGTTGCAGTTGTACATATTGAGGAGATCATATTCCGATGTAGAGATTCATGTCACACTATCAACCAGCTGTTTGTCAGTTCTAGGTTTGATTACCACGCGGATGATCATGATGTCCTCTAACTCATAAACTGACTTTTACACATTGCATCTAGATACTGACAATCAACGGAGACAAACACAGAAAAGCCACGTCCTTCAAATAAGACAGTTTCAACAGGGTCGACTCAGCAGAACACCTTTGTACGCGATGCTTGAAAATGTAAGTACTTGTTAAACATCCGATTATGGAATGTTGAACTGCTTGGCGAGTAATTAGTTTGTGCAATTCAAGCAATTAAATTATCAAATATTTAGGTAAGAGTGATAATTACAATTTTATAAATGACTATTTACTATACTTATATTCCGGTTAAAGAACTGTATAAGTAATACTCAATCGATATAACCATTTCTTACTTAACCCTGAAGGAGATCATCACATGATCACTTGTGTCCTTTTATCTTTAGAAAAATGTTGTTTGTGTTCAAAATCGTTTGTTCCTCTGGTTACCTGACTGAAATTGTTTTAACTGTGCCCTCACTTTGTACTCTTAATTCACACATTTGTGGTTCCTATATTTCCAAAGTTGGTTTAATGTTGGAGCTGAGACACAGATTTTATTTGAAATTCAAAGATCTTGCCAGAAACGTAGCATATCTCAACACAGTAAGTGTAGATGCCGGCAGGGGAGATAATTCATAAGAAAAGAAAGATCACAGGTAGCATTTCAACTTTGACGTATATGTCTTCTTGGTTCTCGTTTGACAAGCGGATTGTTGACAGAATCTAAATGTTGGAGGTCAGCTGCCACTGATCCTGTAAAACAACAATGATTTTACGTGGCATAACATTGAGTCAATGTTACAGTTATCAAGCCACACCATGTTGTGTCGATCATGTCATCCAGATAACCTGTCACACACAACAGTTCTAACACCTGGTATTTGTCTTGCTGTAAGTTTAAACAGTCACTTCCTGTATATATTTCATTAATACAGGATTTGTTGACGTGGCCCTGTTGAAGCAATACACTGTAACGGTGTTGTCCGTATATCCTTAGACATGGCGACCGCTAAGTTTCGGTCCAAATGAATATTTGCACTGCCAGAAACAAAGTTACCAATTCTTCAATATTGATTTGCTGATCGCTAATCGCAGGGGGTGGACTATTCCGCTTTACATACAATGTAGCACTGTTGTCACCAAGCGCTGCCGCCGCGTTCCTCGCATGCATCAGTGTAACATCACCGATAGGGAAGTACTTTACCTTTTAAGAGTAAAAGTAGTTCCATTAGACTGTTCACAGAATTTGGCCTCGACAACGCAATAAGAGTAAACAATTTTCCGCTTAATTTAAGACAATAAGACACCTCATAAACGTCTATGAACCGCACGTGACGTTTTCCTAGCAACTGATGTAGTTGTAACTTTTTAGCTTTCTTAAATTTTTTCAAATTGACCCAAACATTCTTTCAGATCTGCATGTTTATCTTCGGGGAAATTAAAGTTCCAACAACACTTTCTATATTTATGTTGAAATGTCATTTTGGGGGTTGGTGCTACAAATTTATCATAGACTAATGTAAAACCTGTCTTCATTAAGCTGCTGCAAAGATTCCAAAACTTTATCACAGTGGCCAATAGTCACATCGTACCCTTTATGTTTCATCATACAGGTAATGCTGGAGGCTCTGCCTTATTTCTCGCCAGCATGGAGAGGACTAGTGTCGATGACGCGCAGCGCTGAATTTAAATTTGAAAAATATGTCATTGGTATTATCAATACGTTTATGGGCAGTATCTCACGTTTATTTAACATATTTCATCACATTATTATTTCATTCTATATAATTTCCTCTGTGATGTTTGTGGGGCATTCTGATTATGGTTACCTTTCTACAGTGAGTTGGAGCAAAGCACCACTAAGATTTAAGGTGTCATTTTCAGGTTTTGTTAGCTCAAATGGTTGAAATACTGTGATTCCATCCGGCTTCAACTGACAATCGGCATCGAGAAACGTTAAATGCACATGTTCAAATATTGGAAAGTTATTACTCATGACTTTCCTATCCTTTATGGGCAACCTTGTACTTTAAGGCCTGTTACATCATGTAAGGCCTGTTACATCCTGTAAGGCATGTTACACCCTGTAAGGCCTGTTACATCCTGCAAGGCCTGTTTCATCCTGCAAGGCCTGTTACATCCTGCAAGGCCTGTTACATCCTGTAAGGCCTGTTACACCCTGTAAGGCCTGTTACATCCTGTAAGGCCTGTTACATCCTGCAAGGCCTGTTTCATCCTGCAAGGCCTGTTACATCCTGCAAGGCCTGTTACATCCTGTAAGGCCTGTTACCCCCTGTAAGGCCTGTTACATCCTGCAAGGCCTGTAACATCCTGCAAGGCCTGTAACATCCTGCAAGGCCTGTAACATCCTGCAAGGCCTGTAACATCCTGTAAGGCATGTTTCATCCTGCAAGGCCTGTTCCATCCTGCAAGGCCTGTAACATCCTATAAGGCCTGTTACACCCTGTAAGGCTTGTTACACCCTGCAAGGCCTGTTACACCCTGCAAGGCCTGTAACATCCTATAAGGCCTGTTACATCCTGTAAGGCCTGTTACATCCTGTAAGGCCTGTTACACCCTGCAAGGCCTGTTACACCCTGCAAGGCCTGTAACATCCTATAAGGCCTGTTACATCCTGTAAGGCCTGTAACATCCTATAAGGCCTGTTACACCCTGTAAGGCTTGTTACATCCTGTAAGGCCTGTTGCACCCTGCAAGGCCTGTAACATCCTGTAAGGCCTGTTACATCCTGTAAGGTCTGTTACACCCTGCAAGGCCTGTTACATCCTGTAAGGCCTGTTACACCCTGCAAGGCCTGTTACACCCTGTAAGGCCTGTTACATCCTACAAGGCCTGTTACATCATGTAAGGCCTGTTACATCCTGCAAGGCCTGTTACATCCTACAAGGCCTGTTACATCCTGTAAGGCCTGTTACATCCTACAAGGCCTGTTACACCCTTTAAGGCCTGTTACACCCTGTAAGGCCTGTTACATCCTACAAGGCCTGTTACATCCTGTAAGGCCTGTTACATCCTGCAAGGCCTGTTACATCCTACAAGGCCTGTTACATCCTGTAAGGCCTGTTACACCCTGTAAGGCCTGTTATATCCCGTAAGGCCTGTTACATCATGTTAGGCCTGTTACATCCTGTAAGGCCTGTTACATCCTGTAAGGCCTCTTACACCCTGCAAGGCCTGTTACAAAATGTAAGGCCTGTTACACCCTGTAAGGCCTGTTACACCCTGTAAGGCCTGTTACATCCTGTAAGGCCCGTTACATCCAACAAGGCCTGTTACACCCTTTAAGGCCTGTTACACCATGTAAGGCCTGTTACATTCTGTAAGGCCTGTTACACCCTGTAAGGCCTGTTACACCCTGTAAGGCCTGTTACACCATGTAAGGCCTGTTACATACAGTAAGGCCTGTTACACCCTGCAAGGCCTGTTATATCCTGTAAGGCCTGTTACATCCTGTAAGGCCTGTTATATCCTGCAAGGCGTGTTACATCCTGTAAGGCCTGTTACACCCTTGAAGGCATGTTACCTCCTGTCAGGCCTGTTACATCCTACAAGGCCTGTTACATCCTGTAAGGCCTGTTACATCCTGTAAGGCCTGTTACATCCTGTAAGGCCTGTTACACCCTTGAAGGCATGTTACCTCCTGTCAGGCCTGTTACCTCCTACAAGGCCTGTTACATCCTGTAAGGCCTGTTACATCCTGTAAGGCATGTTACATCCTGTAAGGCATGTTACATCCTGCAAGGCCTGTTACACCCTGTAAGGCCTGTTACACCCTGTAAGGCCTATTACATCCTGTAAGGCCTGTTACATCCTGTAAGGCACGTTACATCCTGTAAGGCCTGTTACATCCTGTAAGGCCTGTTACATCCTGTAAGGCCTGTTACAAACTGTAAGGCCTGTTACACCCTTTAAGGCCTGTTACACCCTGTAAGGCCTGTTACATCCTGTAAGGCCTGTTACATCCTGTAAGGCCTGTTACAAACTGTAAGGCCTGTTACATCCTGTAAGGCCTGTTACAAACTGTAAGGCCTGTTACATCCTACAAGGCCTGTTACCATATTTTCTTAGGATGTTATAATGATTATCATAAACTACATGTAACTTTCCTTGGTTATACAGATGATTCCCGACGACAAGGCAGCCATGACCCATTATCAAGACATTATTCTCTCTACGAAGCAAGGTTGGTATACATGTATTCTTAGATCATTGGAGAAAATGTTGTACAATTTTGACAATGCATTTGAATACTCAAATACAGAAACAAGTTCTTATGATGTTAGCACAGCCATAGTAATTAATTGCCAATGCTTTGGTACCATACCACTCTAAATGCTAAAAATGCTATATAATTACATAAGGGACCAACCGTTTTAATGTATTTCAGAATATCAAATCGTCGGTCTCTAATATTGATAAAGAATGGTCCCCTGTATTGTACACAGTGTGTACGAGGACAATGTTGTCTTGACATCTTTTGTCTGAGGTACAGAATGAGACATGCTGCACCCTATCATACTTAAATGTCTAAACTGTATGTGTTTGCAATGATTTGTGATCATAACGTATGACGTTCCCATGGTCGTTTCAGGTGGTTCTGCCTTGCACAATGTGGGAGATATCAGTTCATGGCTTCCTGTTTTGTGTAAGTTAACTTGAATCCCATTCAATACAAACCTCAAATGTATTCATTCACAAACATAAGCAGGAATTATTTGTATTTGATTGGGCTACAACTACAAATATGTGTTTAAAAGAGTTTCAATACTTTTGTATGTATTGCATCAATCATTTCATAGAAACAGACCGCCTCCGTAGTCTAGTGGTAGAGCGTCTGCCCGGAGAGCGGAAGGTCCGGGGTTCGATCCTTGGCCGCGTCATACCAAAAGACGTTACAAGATGTTACTTGTTGTAACCCTGTCTGGCGCTCAGCATTAAGGGGCTAAAACAAGGTCTGGTCGGCTCGGAGTCAGTATACTGTGTCTGAGTGGGGTATTTATGTTAAACTGCGTCATGGTATCTCAGTGAGCTAGCAATATAAATCGGCATCAGTCCGGACTAGTACAAGCAGCCACACAAACACACACACGTACATTCACGTCGCTATATAAGTGCAATAATCTTGGACGCGACGTTAAACCCCATTTCACCACACCATCATAGAAACATAACACATTCTGTCTTGAATGAGGAATTTGTTCATTGAAATGAAATGAGAGACCCAAATCATTGGACTTATTACGAGTGAGGTGTGTGGTGGTGTATGTAGTGGTGTATTTAGTGAGGGAATTCTTGATGCTGGGCAGGTCGGTATATATACTCTTTAGAAAAGGAGGAGATCATGATTCAGAACTATAAATGTTAATACCAAGTAATGTTTGTGTATGAACTAGCGGTGCGGTGTCTGCAAGGCGCAGAGCGTCTAGGGGCTAGAGCAGTGGGCCATACTCCCTCTAGTCAGCATTTGGATTCTCAAACGCGATATGCATGTATAGCAAACTATATGTCTGCGTTGATGCAGCAGTAATGAACTACACTATGATAGAGAAGGTAATAGTGAGTGAGTGAGTGAGTTGGGTTTAACGCCGCTTTGAACAGTATTACAGTTATATTGCGGCGTGTCAGCTTAATTTGGGAGGAAAGCCCGAAGTGATGCAGGTCTCAGACGTTTACCACTTCGGTGAAACCCACGAGTACGGGTATGGTGCTGACAAACCTAGAAACATAATCGGGGCGAATCGGGATTCGAACCCACAATCATAGGTTACTGGCACGCCAAAGGGACGCAACTCTGCACAGCGAATCGCGGTGCCTTAGACGACTGGGCCACCCGTGCCCTCCAGAGAAGGTAATAAAAGTATTGTATGGAAATAAATTTTATTTATAACACACCATATAAAACTTTGATACTGTCATTGTTATGTCTCTAACTAAAAGTATGTGAAAAGTTGACATGTGGATCACATCAGAAGAGAGTGACAAAACATTACATCGGTGATGGTACGAATGAGTTGGATGCTGTGTAGTGCTCGCACAGACGCTACTTTCTTTAAAAAAATCATTATTACAAACAAAGCACGATTGAAGAAGGATTTTGAATGAAAAATCGACTCGGAGATAGATTCAGTGAGGCAATATGAATATGATGTATTACTTTACAATCGAACAGTGTCGGTGAAAGTTTTCTCACACATCAGTGTAGATATACGATGCAAAGTACGTTGATATCAAATGTAATAAATATATCAATTTGGTGTTTATTCATTTATCAATCATTGTAATTATGTGTAATAAACATTTAGAATTCCCACACGTACAGTTATAACATACATCCCCGCCAGTAGACAAGACAGCCTCCCTGCCCAGCGAGTGTGATGGTGTGACTGTGAAAGTGACTGAAGCGGACATAGAAGTTACCTGTTCATGTGATGTCTGTTGTCTGTACAAATGTCAAAATGTCTCCACTTGATGTAGGTTTCTGTTTCATTGTATTCTATATTATACAAGAGAAGTTTAGAATTCACACAGTGGTATTTAAACATGAAGTTATGTAAATATTACTTCATATTTTGACAAAGAGCCTCGATGTCTGACTTCTATATCACAGCAATAGGGCGGAACAAATGTTTGTCAAAAATTGTTTTATATGGTGTTGATTTGATCATTAAACCATGTAACTTTGTATAAAATACATTTAGAATTCACATACAAATAGTTTTGCAGTATATCTATTCCGATATGAGTCACAATAGTGACCGAATTCACGAACTGCTGAAACTCGCGGTCGAATATTTAGTGCGCTGTTTACAGATAATATCATGAGATTCACAATAAATGTCCGACTTTGTCTCTACAGTAAATAAACTTATCACACAACAAACACCATCTATATTTCCAGGTTCTAAACTACATCTGGACGCCGCTCGAGCCAACACAGACAGGTGCCACGTAACTACAGACGGTGAGCTGGTCAACTCGCCGCCCGACACATGGCCTGATGATAACAGGCGCAGGCTACGGAAGTATTGGGGGACCTGTGCCTCCACCCCCATCCCCCTTCCTCCACCCCACTCCACTCTCACCCCGGTATACAGCACTCCCAGATACTGGGAGACACTAACCTGGGTGAGGATGCTGGGTGGAGAGTGGTGGTTTACTGTCCTGGAGATGGGGGTGAGTGAGGCAGGACAGGTGGACAGTGAGCGGTGGGCTTCACTACAGCGTCGCTCCTGGTGTGTCCGTGTAGGGAGCTGTAACAGACACGGGGAGAGTCTCTGTACCAGGGTGTGGCGGGAAGGGAAGCAGGGCGAGTGTCAGCAGAACCCCGTGTCCCGCACTCCCGGCACACGGGCCATCCTCCACTATGGTGTTGTGCTGGATGTGGGGAGGGGCAGACTGGCCTTCATTGATCTGAACAGGGGCGTTGTTTTAGCCAGGTTTGATGCGAGGTTTAGGGAAGACCTGTACCCCATGTTTGGTGTTTGGCCGTTGCCAGAGGGCTACACTATCAACATGAAACTGATCAGCGGGGAAGACATCGTCATCACCGACACCAAGAAGTCACTGATTCACGATGCGCTGACTTAGGACATCACGCTGTGTGGAGTTAGCAGTGTAATTCAAGGTTGTAGAATCAGCTGTGTCAATGACGAGAACTGAACTGAGTGAAGCGGACATAAAAGTGTCCGGTTTGTCTGCTAATTCATGTTTACAAAAACTAACGAAGTTTGCTAAATGTGATGTTTTGCGGCACGAGAGGGTTGAACTGTGTATAAAAAGTATTTAGAATTATCACATGAGTATCTGTATGTTGACAGTATTGCTGTAGTGACTTCCAATATGAGACACTGTATGTTGTTCTGCTGCACGAGAGGGCTCTACAGTGTATAGAAAGTATTTAGAATTATCACATGAGTATCTGTATATTGACAGTATTGCTGTAGTGACTTCCAATATGAGACACTGCGTGATGTTTTGAGATCTAATGTGATTTGAAAATGAGGGAAGTGCAGTTTTACAAAAGTTGTTTCAATTAGCAATTTTTTTTTATTTCACTTCACTTGTCTTTGTATTATAACTGTATTGAATCCACACATAAATAGTTCTATAATCATATTATTTTTGTAGCAACTTACATATGACGCTTTGTAATAGTGAGTCTACAAGACTGACACAAGTTGTTCCAAATAACATTCTTCTTTATTTCACTTCACTATCCTGTTATTATGTCTCCCCCAGAATGGAGGGAGACATATTGTTTTTGGCACGGTTCCCGTCGGCGTCGGCGTTGGCGTCGGCGTTCCCACCGTTTCCGGACCATAACTCAGAAACCGTTTAATATTTTTTCGCGAAACTTTGTATACACATTAACCCAGCACTGAAGTGGTGCTATTTGCTATTTAGAGATTTTTGACATTTTTATTTTTTCTCGTTTCCATGGAGATAAGTTGAACATAGACTCTGAATGGGGGTAAGCTTGGTTTCAGGACCATAACTCAGAAACCGTTTAATATTTTTTCGCGAAACTTTGTATACACATTAACCCAGCACTGAAGTGGTGCTATTTGCTATTTAGAGATTTTTGACATTTTTATTTTTTCTCGTTTCCATGGAGATAACTTGAACATAGACTCTGAATGGGGGTAAGCCTTGTTTCCGGACCATAACTCGGAAACCGTTTAATATTTTTTCGCGAAACTTTGTATACACATTAACCCAGCACTGAAGTGGTGCCTTTTGCTATTTAGAGATTTTTTGACATTTTTATTTTTTCTTGTTTCCATGGAGATAAGTTGAACATAGGCTCTGAATGGGGGTAAGCTTTGTTTCCTGACAATAACTCAGAAACCGTTTAATATTTTTTCGCGAAACTTTGTATACACATTAACCCAGCCCTGAAGTGGTGCCTTTTGCTATTTAGAGATTTTTGACATTTTTATTTTTTCTTGTTTCCATGGAGATAAGTTGAACATAGGCTCTGAATGGGGGTAAGCTTGGTTTCCGGACCATAACTCAGAAACCGTTTAATATTTTTTCGCGAAACTTTGTATACACATTAACCCAGCACTGAAGTGGTGCTATTTGCTATTTAGAGATTTTTGACATTTTTATTTTTTCTCGTTTCCATGGAGATAACTTGAACATAGACTCTGAATGGGGGTAAGCCTTGTTTCCGGACCATAACTCGGAAACCGTTTAATATTTTTTCGCGAAACTTTGTATACACATTAACCCAGCACTGAAGTGGTGCCTTTTGCTATTTAGAGATTTTTTGACATTTTTATTTTTTCTTGTTTCCATGGAGATAAGTTGAACATAGGCTCTGAATGGGGGTAAGCTTTGTTTCCTGACAATAACTCAGAAACCGTTTAATATTTTTTCGCGAAACTTTGTATACACATTAACCCAGCCCTGAAGTGGTGCCTTTTGCTATTTAGAGATTTTTGACATTTTTATTTTTTCTTGTTTCCATGGAGATAAGTTGAACATAGGCTCTGAATGGGGGTAAGCTTGGTTTCCGGACCATAACTCAGAAACCGTTTAATATTTTTTCGCGAAACTTTGTATACACATTAACCCAGCACTGAAGTGGTGCCTTTTGCTATTTAGAGATTTTTTGACATTTTTATTTTTTCTTGTTTCCATGGAGATAAGTTGAACATAGGCTCTGAATGGGGGTAAGCTTTGTTTCCTGACAATAACTCAGAAACCGTTTAATATTTTTTCGCGAAACTTTGTATACACATTAACCCAGCCCTGAAGTGGTGCCTTTTGCTATTTAGAGATTTTTGACATTTTTATTTTTTCTTGTTTCCATGGAGATAAGTTGAACATAGGCTCTGAATGGGGGTAAGCTTGGTTTCCGGACCATAACTCAGAAACCGTTTAATATTTTTTCGCGAAACTTTGTATACACATTAACCCAGCACTGAAGTGGTGCCTTTTGCTATTTAGAGATTTTTGACATTTTTATTTTTTCTCGTTTCCATGGAGATAAGTTGAACATAGGCTCTGAATGGGGGTAAGCTTTGTTTCCTGACCATAACTCAGAAACCGTTTAATATTTTTTCGCAAAACTTTGTATACACATTAACCCAGCACTGAAGTGGTGCCCATTAGTTGTTTGAAATTTCTAGGAGTTCTATTTTTGTCTCTGTTATTTAGTAATGGAGGGTGGGAATGAAGAGATGGGGTTTAACGTGAAGTAAACGAATGAATGGGGGTTAGGGGAGTGGGGGGAGACATATGTTTTTACGAGTAAAAACACTTTCTAGTTACAACTGTTTGAATTGACACACAAATTGTTCTTAATCATATCAGTGTTTCAGCAACTTCTTGATAACACATTTTGTTCATACCCTGAAGAATGATTTTGTAATATATTGTGTACATTACATCTGTTGTCAATCTAACATAGTCAGTTTTATGGATATTTCTTATCTACTCACAATAGGGCACATTTTCTTGATCCCTTACAGAAGTTGCATGCTTTTGATATCCCCCCCCCCCCCCCCCCCCCCTCCAAGTGCATAGTGTCTGCAGTGGGAACATGTTTTCTCAGAAAATACTGAAGTAAGTTTATCTAAGAGATACTTATCAAGACTGAATTCAAGAATTGGGGCCATACATTATTTTTCCCAGAAAAGGGGCCTCTTGTGTGTATTATTTTTTCTGATGATATAAAATGACCCTAGTGCCTATCTCTTCTTAAGGATTTATAGTATCTTTTTTAAAGTTTATATTCACTATGAACAAACAAAATTCTAATGTGCAGGGGATAGTGATAACGGTGTCTTCTTGTTATTTATTATATTAACTGTTTTAGAAAATAGATCTGAAACATTGTGTTAGTATGTGGTTCAGTGAGTGAGTGAGTGTATGTTGGTATTCTGCAATATTCCGGCTAGATCACAGCAACCTGTAACTGGCCCTGGTCCTGACGGGACAAGCCAGCGGTTTGCGGCACCAGAACCAGCTAGCTCCTTCATTATCATGGCGTAATGGGGACCTCACTGACAAAAGAAAAACGAATACTATATATGATGGTTATTACTAGTATATGAAGAATTACTCATATTCAAGAGATATTAGATTGGGTTGATGCGAAAACGAACATATTTTTGAGTTGTGTGAACCGATGAACGCATCACATGTGACATTATAGACCCATGACTCGAGATGCAGCATGAGTCTCTTGCAGGATTAGCGTGTAAAATTCGGAAATGTGCAACATATCGTGATAACAATAAAGACGCTGTGGTAACACTTGACTGACTGTTAGTTTTGTCATTAAGTGGTACACATTGGAAACATCTCTTCTTAACATGCATACTTCTCTATACGTGTCTATGGTTCGCATTTCTTTTGTCGGTGATTATATTTTGTCTCGGAAATCCCACAGAGATTGAATCATGCTCGGAGATTTTGACAAATCAAAGTTGTAATTGAAGTTTTATTGAATCTATTGAAAGGTCCACATAAGTACATGCATAAGCTAACATAGCTGCACTATACCAGTGACACGTCCCATGGCCACCCTGTCTATGAGCATATGCTCAATTATGTCGCGACAGATACTTTAACATGGCCTCATAGAAAACAACACAATTCTTAAATATTTTGAATAAGGAAATTCTCAACTTATGTTGATGTGGGTGTTCCATATTTCGTCAGAGAAAACATAACATGAGAGGTTTAATTTAACGCTTCTGTATGTATTCTTGCTGGGAATTCTCAGGGGTTGCCCAGGAATGCTGAAGTAGTCCGTCAGTGATTACATCATTTCAAGAACACGGTCTCGTGAAAGACGTATGATTGTGTCGTTCATGCGACCGACCTCTCGTCCAATGTAAAAGCTGTATATTGTGTAAACTTCAAATTAAAAAAATATTTAAACATGAATTTACTGTGCAATGTTTGATGTCAGAGGGAGGTCAGGCATGAATGTTATATTTTTTGAAGAACAATGTTGTTTTCATGACTTACCTAACATTATAATGTCAATGTATGAACAGCTTTTTAAAGTTTGCCTTTTAATTAATGCTATAGCTATCTTAAAGCTTTTTGCGTGACAACTCCCTCTAAATAAGAGTTTACTTTTTATCCATGTTTCATTTTCTTTATATTTCTGTATGTTGGACTAGTTGTTACATTTATAGATGCATGCAGCGTGTTTCTCAGTATCAAACAGGTTGGATGTGACTGTTTCACATATCTGATTCCAGACAGCCTATGGAATGTTACTGGTGATATAGTGCTGAGCGTCTGTTTGCATAAATTTGACAGGCAAATTCACTCAGTTATTGTTGCTCGCCAGGTACATTGTACGTGAGCTGAAAGTAATGCCATGACATCTTTTGTCTTCAAGTAAGGTAAATGTATCTGTTACAAAACTTTAGAATGGTTTCTTTTAAGAATTGACTTTCACTTTGTGTGAGTTCATTGGAAAATGAACCTTCATAGAGTGAGGGCCAAACTGTATGAACGTCTTCATTTTGTTCTCTAGGATAGGTTGTAGCCAAGATATGCTTGAACGGACATGCAATCAAACTCTCTGACATATCACAATGTGTGCTAAAACGCAACTTTCAAGATTAAAGGTTTGTTGTCCGTCTGTGTCAAATTGTGTCGTTCACACACTTATGAACGGCAATTTTGCGGTCATGTGACCGACTTCAGTCCAATGGAAAAGCTGTATATTGTGTAAACTTCAAATTAAAAAATTATGAATTTACTGTGCAATGTTTGATGTCACAGGTAGGTCTGGCATCAATGTAATACTCTTTGAAGAACAATGTTGTTTTAATGATTTACCTAACATTATAACTTCAATGTATGAACAGCTTTTTAAAGTTTGCCTTTTAATTAATGCTATAGCCATCTTAAAGGTTTATGCGTGACAACTCGATCTACACAGAGTTAACTTTTTATCCCCCGGCATATAATGCGGGGGATATAGCGATCAGCCAGTCTGCCTGTCCGTCGATCCGTCCGTAATCATTTCATTTTCCGGGGCAGAATTCGAAAACCATTGAGTGTATTTGATCGAAACTTGGCAAAGCTATCAGGCACATACTGAAGTGGTGACTTTTGATATTTGGGGATTTTTCTAATTTTTATATTTTTTAAAATTTTTATGGAATGAAGTTGGACATAGACTCAATTGGGGATGGGGTTCGTTTCCGAGGCAAAATTCGAAAACCATTGAGTGTATTTGATCGGAACTTGGCAAAGCTATCAGGCACATACTGAAGTGGTGACTTTTGATATTTGGGCATTTTTCTAATTTTTAATTGTTTTAAATTTTTATGGAATGAAGTTGGACATAGACTCAATTGGGGATGGGATTCGTTTCCGAGGCAGAATTCGAAAACCATTCAGTGTATTTGATCGAAACTTGGCAAAGCTATCAAGCACATACTGAATTTTACGAATTTTTATTTTTTACAATTTTTATGGAAAGAAGTTGGACCTAGACTGCATTGGGGTAAGGGTTCATTTCCGGGCCAGAATTCGAAAACCATTCAGTGGGTAAACAATGTATGCCTTTTAAAGAACATTCAACTGTTGACTCATTTCATACAGAATTGCACATATACTAGTGGTTACTTTACAGACAGCTGGGGGGGGGGGGGGGGGGGGGGGGGGATATATCATCTTTCTGATGACTCTTGTTTATATTTCTCTACGTTCTCTTGAAACATTAAACGTGTTTTAATCATGATGATTCCTGTTATGTTTTCCTTGAAACAAGTTGTTGTAATGACAGCGGTGTGCATTAAAGATGCTCTCTGAGTGCCTATGTAGTTCAGATTACACATTCCTGTGGACTACCAGATCATCAATGAAATCACATGGCACTTGAAGCTGTAACTGTGTATGAATCATCCCAGCAATGGTGCCACCATACTATGCTGTCCATGGTCGTATTGCCTAATACCCAGCCATTTCTTGATGAATCTTATGACATTCTCAATATGCATGGAGTATATGATTTGCCAATTATCAAACCGTTGGCTTTCAAATCAATTTGAACATTGAATTTTGTCCCTCTAGGCAATAGGTACTTAATTCACATGCAATGAAGAGGCTTTCTGTGTGGAAACAGGTTTATTGCAAATTTGTGTGTGCACCGAGCATGACCTCTCTTATCAGATGTTTCCCAAATATTCCAGAAAACTTTCTTGACACGAAAAGTATGCTCTGTATGTTTACCCTGAATGTGTATCACCAAAGATTGTGCTATTTTTTCATCTCTCCATCCAGGTTTTCTTTTACGTTATCCACAGAAACAAGAGATGACACCCAAATGGATCAGCATGACAAAGAAACAAGTCCTTCTGCAACAATAATTCATACACAAGTTTGACATCTATTGTTTATTCAGGATACATTTTCAATCATACATTTCTTTCATTTCGTGTATCTTGATTCTTGAGTTTTCTTTCATAAAATACTATCAGAAGTTTGATATTCTTGAGTACCATTGTTAAAAGCATATCACATGAACACCTGAGCCTGGCTGTTGTCATGAGGTGCTGTTGGATGCCGACACGCGACGTGACCTCTCGTACTTGAACATCACATTGAACATGTCCCCACCAAAGCGGTTTGCCAACCACCGGTTCTTTATCACAGCTACTTTCAGACACTCACAGGAGAAGGCTGCTTCAAAGTTTGTGTGGATCGCTCGACCCATGCCTTCAATAATGATAAGATCTGTGTCCATGGTTTTGATGGTATCCACAAGACATTGGTCTATCAACCTGTAGAAAAACAACAACTTTTATCATAACTGTGAGCAAGTATTCAACACGTGGAAGGGAGAGTGGGGGTTGTTCGATTCCCCACACACCTGACGTTTACTTCTGTAATATTGATTGAATATTACATAAAGAGGCTTCAAATTGCACTCACTCAATACATAAAGGAGTTGTTAATTAGTCGGTGCATAAATCTACAAATCCTGTTGCTAGATATTAAGGCATATATAAGATCTGCTCACTGAAATTGATGACGAACTATCAAAAACAGTGATCTACACACATTCAAACAGCAGTCGATTTTGAAATGAAACATCGTCAAACAACTGACAACATGGCTGGATCTCAGAAAGTAGAACACACACACACACTCAAAGTATAGTATGGTCAACTAAAGTTTAGTATGAATTCCTACAGAATTATGCTCTCATATTAGGCTGAAAGAAATAACAAAATTGGTTCTCAGGCAATGGCAATATTTGTAAATATAGTGCAGGTGAGCGGCCTTTTGTTTTTTTGTTCAAACTAGTATGTAACAAAATAACAGTTTGGTACATTCAACCTGGGAAAGGGCCTCCCGACATAAATGTATTTCTTGATCAGTAAAATACTGGAAAATAGTATTGGACTACCAGTGTGTGCATAATACACACATACTATGCGCTTTTGATTTTATCTCACTACGCGAAGACATCGTGTGCACACAACCCCGAAAGAAGCGTGTTAACAAATCCGTACTAAAGTCCGCAAGTTAGTCCTGTTATTACACCATCTTGCTATAAAAGTGTTCATTGTGTATCTGACTTAAGTTTGTAATCCATTATATCACTTTTCTCAAAGATTCCATTCAATTTTGTTTACATGAATTCCAGCAAATTCGTGTATGATCTGATCAGCAAATAACATCAACTGACCATGAACTCACCTTGAAATGAACATTAGTCAGAGATACAGAGTCTTCTGTCTTCCTATCAATTACTATGGAATTTCTTTTCAGTTATATTGGCCATGACATAAAGTATTTTTTATACTAAATCACCCATAGATCGAGGAAAAAATGTGTAAACATATGATGGCTATTTCCGGCTTATTTTACAAGACAAATACACATGTAATCTTAATCTCTGCTTATGAAACATTGTCCGGCATACAGTACACAAATACCACTGAATTTTTAAATCATGGTGTCTAGTGATGTTTTATCATACATTTCATGTTTTCATTTACCAAATTTGCAAACAGCAAAACAGGCACACAAACTCCTATTGCCGCCATGACCATTACACACGCGATGCACAGTGAACCAGTGCACATGTAAAGGGAAGTAACTGTGTGCTATATTGGATCGAGTTGTTTTTAAGTATTGTAGCATTTCACTGATGGGGTCATGTGTTTGAGACGTGGAATATTATAGGATATTTTTTTTTGAAAATGGAAATAAAAACGAAACTAGCGGCGGACCTTGTGATGATGCAGCAGTGCTTGAGAGCCAAGACTTTTTCGTTTAACTTTACAAATCAGCATCTACCGATGTCAATCCCATTACAGCACATATCTGTATAACACTACCAGTGCTAAGCTTTTTAGTTTACCTTGGGCAAATTAGGTTAACACCGGATCATTTTTTATATTTATGCTGATTATACATCATTTATTTTACCTGAGATCTAAACATGGTGAACCTTGACCTGATTCCATCACGAGGAGCCTTCCTTCTGTGAGGGCCTGGCTTATCTCCCCTGAAATTGCAGCCACGTGTTTGGTGATCAGCTGTAGTTCACTGAATGTGACATCATTCAGAGTGGGACGGGAGTTGGCACACAGAATCACCTGAAGGAAAGATGCTGATGAATTCATGGAACTCAACTATTAGTTAAAGCCTAAAGATTAGATGTACCAATTTCATTCCACCTGCAAAAAGTTAAGCACGCCCTACGATAATGATTTATAACATGTGACCATTATTTTCAACAGTAAGGGCAATGGTGATTATGACAAGGCTGATGATCCATCAAAAGGATGTTACCATTAATGCTTTGCAATGTAAAATTACATCAGTCGAAATCTGAATCCGCTGCAGCACATACAGGACATCCTCAGGCATCTTATACAGGCACTTGAGCCTCCTGACAAGAATCTGTGTGAATCGGAACCAACTTTGCACCAAAAGTTGCTGCAGTTGCCAGCCCCTTTAGTAGATCCGACATCTGACTGGAGGGATGCGATACAGGTTGGGGTAAGCATCTGGCCACCTAGAGGGCTTACTCGCCACTGAACCTTTGAACTACGGGTGTCATCGTGGGACTCAAAGTGACATTTGTATCCAGAATTAGCCACCTAAATCGTCATATGAACTCTGCTTTCCATACTTATTAGATATTGTCTTGGGGTGAAAACATCACCGGTGGTTGTGCTAAGATATCGTGATTAAAATCTAACATCAGCTGACAATGGTGGTGATTTCCTATTGTCAGAGGGTTCTTAAAGATCACATTTGTTTATCCGAGCTCGTTAGTCAGTAATTTCATTCCACCACTAGTTTCTTTAGACATTGAAACATTTCCAGGGGTGCTGTCCAGGTGTATATTCACACTCTGAAATTGGATCTGGCAAGTTAAATATTAGATGCAAGTAAAAGTATGTTTAAACCATAAACAGACACAGCTATAAGCATGTCAGGCAGGTAACCAAAACATTATAACACATAAAAAACAACTCATCACAGTAATTGTTTGTGTTGTCATGGCTGCCTATCATCGGTGTATCCACCTTATCAACACATAGCAAGCAATGACAAAATATGCCTTCTCATTACCATAGACACCATCACTATTCAGCCTGAAAGTAGGATCACTTACACTGGTCCCTCGAGACAAGAGCTCCCTGGTCAGAGGGATCACACCCAGAATGATGTCAGCACCACTGTTGTCACAGAAGATGGCTGCACATTTGTGGGGTGGGGACCGAGACAGTCTAGCTTTCCAGGCGTCAAAGTCATCAAATAGCCATGGACGCCCTGCAAACACAGGGCACAGTTTTTGGTACTCGGTTAGGAAAATATCAGAGAATGTGTAACAGCGTGTGTTCATTAACAGTTGTTCCATTATCTTCAGTTTGTAATTAACTCGAGTCCTGTTTATACTCCTCAAACAATGTGGCCGCCCAGTTCTCATGTCAATTCTCTCTTACACAAGGCATGCTATGGGACCTACTCCTGCCTCAAACAATGTGGCCCCAGTTCTCATTTCAATTCTCTCTTACACAACGCATGCTATGGGACCTACTCCTGCCTCAAACAATGTGGCGAATCAGTTCTCATCATAATTCTCTCTTACACATGGCATGCTATGGGACCTACTCCCGCCTCAAACAATGTGGCCATGCAGTTCTCACGTTAATTCTCTCTTACACAAGGCATGCTATGGGACCTACTCCTGCATCAAACATTGTGGCCACCCAGTTCTCATTTCAATTCTCTCTTACACAAGGCATGCTATTGACCTACTCCTGCATCAAACAATGTGGCCTCCAAGTTCTCATTTCAATTCTCTCTTACACAAGGCATGCTATGGACCTACTCCTGCCTCAAACAATGTGGCAATGCAGTTCTCATCATAATTCTCTCTTACACATAGCATGCTATGGACCTACTCCTGCCTCAAACAATGTGGCCAACCAGTTCTCATTTCAATTCTCTCTTACACAAGGAATGTGATGGGACCTACTCCTGCCTCAAACAATGTGGCCATCCAGTTCTAATTTCAATTCTCTCTTAATCAAGGCATGATATGGACCTACTCCTGCCTCAAACAATGTGGCCACCCAGTTCTCACGTTAATTCTCTCTTACACAAGGCATGCTATGAGACCTACTCCTGCCTCAAACAATGTGGCCATCCAGTTCTCACGTTAATTCTCTCTTACACAAGGCATGCTATGGGACCTACTCCTGCCTCAAACAATGTGGCCATCCAGTTCTCATGTTAATTCTCTCTTACACAAGGCATGCTATGGGACCTACTCCTGCCTCAAACAATGTGGCCATCCAGTTCTCATGTTAATTTTCTCTTACACAAGGCATGCTATGGGACCTACTCCTGCCTCAAACAATGTGGCCATCCAGTTCCCATTTCAATTCTCTCTTACACAAGGCATGCTATTGACCTACTCCTGCCTCAAACAATGTGGCCACCCAGTTCTCATTTCAATTCTCTCTGACACAAGGCATGTGATGGGACCTACTCCTGCCTCAAACAATGTGGCCATCCAGTTCCCATTTCAATTCTCTCTTACACAAGGCATGCTATTGACCTACTCCTGCCTCAAACAATGTGGCCACCCAGTTCTCATTTCAATTCTCTCTGACACAAGGCATGTGATGGGACCTACTCCTGCCTCTAACAATGTGGCCATGCAGTTCTCATTTCAAATCTCTCTTACACAAGGCATGCTATGGGACCTACTCCTGCATCAAACAATGTGGCCATCCAGTTCTCATTTCAATTCTCTCTTACACAAGGCATGCTATGGACCTACTCCTGCCTCAAACAATGTGGCCACCCAGTTCTCATTTCAAATCTCTCTTACACAAGGCATGCTATGGACCTACTCCTGCCTCAAACAATGTGGCCACCCAGTTCTCACATTAATTCTCTCTTACACAAGGCATGCTATGGGACCTACTCCTGCCTCAAACAATGTGGCCATCCAGTTCTCATTTCAATTCTCTCTTACACAAGGCATGTGATGGACCTACTCCTGCCTCAAACAATGTGGCCACCCAGTTCTCATTTCAATTCTCTCTTACACAAGGCATGCTATGGGACCTACTCCTGCCTCAAACAATGTGGCCACCCAGTTCTCATTGTAATTCTCTCTTACACAAGGCATGCTATGGGACCTACTCCTGCCTCAAACAATGTGGCCACAAAGTTCTCATTGTATTTCTCTCTTACACAAGGCACGCTATGGGACCTATTCCTGTTTGAAACGTAGACAAGTAAGGGAGTCAGTCTGCAAGAATCCTCTTACCTTGCAGTTTATCCTGAGCATCAGCAAAGCCAAACTCCTGTGTCTCCATGATCTTCCTGACTTCCATTGCTCCCCAGTCAAACACATTCCCTGCTAACAGACCCTTGGCTAGTGCCATCTGTCGGTCATCCCAGGACAGTGTGTCCAAGTGATTCAGGTGACCATCGAGTGACTTCAGAGCCTGCTCATTCTCAAACTGTTTCTGCTGGGAGAATGGGTCTGTGAAGTCTAGCTCGGACAGAAACTGACTGCTTGTGTCCAGTAGGGTCCTGACATTCAGAGACCCAAAACAACTGTGAAAATAAAGAAACAAAATAATATTACAAAAACAGAACTATCAAACTCTGGGATTTTTCTATTCTTTTAGATCAGATCCATACAATATGAAATGTCATAAAGATACATGTTCAACATGAGAAAGCGAGCACATAGTGCTGAGGTGATCTTAATATAATATACAGATTGTCGTTGCACTACAATTGCTTTGTAAACAGGGCCCTGATCTTTAGCAAGATCAACAGCTATGGGGGGGGAAGAGGGTACGTGCATGCGTGGAGATTCTCCCATGAGAAAGAGAGCACACTTGTGCCTGGAATATGACGATCTCACACTGGAACTGAACACATGTACAGTCGAACACCATAACGTCGGATCCAACAGAAGTCAGGCTTGTGTTGACCAAATCTTTTGATGTTCCAAACTAGTAGGGATTTGTCGGTGGCAATCACTAACCAAACTGTGTTGAAGAGAATGTTGGCAAGGTTAGTTGCTAGAAAGTCTAGACATTTGTGTATTCTTGACGTCATCTGACCACACCCACCTTAGTATGAGTTGCTGAGAGCCCTCCCCACCCTTGTAGGAAGGTTTCCACAAACAGCCAACAAGTGGAAATAAAGGACTCCACCAGAGACTCAAAGTTTACTACTGGACGGGGGATGCAGAGACCTATCTCATGGTGCCAGGAAATCGGACTGATCACTGTCTGACCCAGGTTGGAGAAAGCCTGAAGAGGTTGAAGTTGGAGTCTACCCCATCTGGTAATATAATGTGCCGACGTGAGGAAACCATGTCACATGTCTCTGGATAGGGTTTGAGACACCAGCGGTCGAATCTGTAATCTATCGTCTTGGGGAACCAAGAGGCTGTTTGAAAACCCACGAGGAGTGAGAGGGAGGGAGTGAGGGATGGAGGGAGTTGGCGCTACCATCTTTTTAAGCAATACTTCAGCAATATCAGTGTTTGTACCAGCAACGTGCTTCACACATACCCATGGGGGGCAACAAATGTAGGCCCACCGTGTGATGAGCGAACACATAACCACACCAGCAGCTGGATCTGTAACCTGAATGAAGAGGATGTTTGAAAACCCACAAGGAGTGAGAGGGAGGGAGTGAGGGATGGAGGGAGTTGGCCTTAACATCTTTATAAGCAATACTTTAGCAATATCACAGTGTTTGTACCAGCAACGTGCTTCACACATGGACTTACCAAAACCCACATGACAACATACATAAAATAATGCAACAACACGATAGCTGCACAAATCCTAGATGATCTTTTTGTAACACAAACCTAAATATATACAGGAACACAGAAACATACACAAGAACTATGTGCAACAAAAACCGAAGTGAGTATATAGCAACGTAAAGACAAAGTTAGAAAGGATATCAAAGAGCTGGACAAAACCATGTCTACAGAAGAACGTTCAAGGGCAGCTAACTCTGCATGGGTGATCAACTTCCAGGGTGGATTTGGACAAGCGGTATACACTGTCATAGCACAGTACCGGTAATAACAATTAAACCATTTTCAACTGAACATGCTATATGCTAGCTACGTGACAAGACTTGTGGCAAACACAATGCAATTAAATAACATATTTCAATTCTACAAGTATATGACAACTTCAGCACAAACTCTTCTATTTATATTCAAAACCAGTCCATGAGGACTCCATGCAAAACTGTTCCCACAAGTACATCATGTGAAGACATCCTGCTGATGGGTCCAGTCCTGTCATCATTCAACTCACCACGGGTTGGCCTTGAGCACGCTGAGTCGGTCCAGGTACCTGGACTTGAACTTGTCTGCTCTTTCCACAGCATCAGGTGAACTTGGCTGACTCTTTATAGCTTGCAGCTTGCTCTAGCAGTAAATAACATTACTACCTTATTAATAGTAACTTACACACTTTGGAGTATAATCATGTGACCAAGTAATATTAAAACCTTGATTCAGAAAAAGTAATATAACCCTGAATGAAAGGATTTAGAGAACACATTTATAGATAGTCATATAGTTATTGTGTAAAACATTATCTTATGAAAATCCAGAAGGAACTAACCACATGAAATAGTAATTAAACACAGGATGCACCTCCAGACTCCTCCTCCCAAATGAAGAGAACTCTTAGGTTCTGTGTGAACCCTTTCTAAACTCATACAAAGTTCAACTCATAACGGCGGCATTGTACAATCAGACAGATAACATTCTTGAAAAATAAAGAAAAAAACATATAAGGTAAGGCTTAAAAAAATAAAAGTATTGGTTCTCTGACTTTTGAAAATATAGTGAGGGCTGGAGGTGGTATTTTTTATGTTGTTTGCTGGTTAAAACTAGTGTGTAACCAGATAAACAGTTGTGTACCATCAACCTTGGCAATGGCCTTCCTACATAAAGAAGAATGCAAACTCCTATTGCTGCCATGACTAGAACACATCATGTGCAGTAAAGCAGTGGGCATGTAAAGGGAAGTAACTGTGTGCTACTTTGGATCACAATGTTTTTAGGTATAAGGGTTTCTTTCTTTTATTGAAAATGGAAATAAAAAGGAAACCTGCAGCAGACTTTAGGATGATGCGGCCATGCCTGGGAACCACCAAGACTATTCCTTTTTTTAGTCTACCCATGGAAAATCTGCCCCTGAAGTACCTTGTCAGCTCCCTGAGAAAAGCACTGCAGCCAATATTCCCTGGCCTCAGCATCTTTGGTGAGATCTACTGTGTCAGGGTAGTAGCTGTTCACGTCCAGCAGCAGGGTGCATGGCAGTAGGGGACGTTCCAGGCGGTCTATCTCAAGGTGGTCAAACTGCAGAAAAAGATAACATGCAAAGAGCATGCATAAACATCCCGTTTATTAAATTTCACATTGTTCTTAACAATGTCATTCAAACATAGAAAAAAAGTTACATATTGACACACGAATAATCTAATCAGTGGATGGCCAAAATATATTTTAACATGATTACCATGAGAAAGAGAGTCCACTGCCATTGCTAATCACCTATCAGCGCTAATTAACTGTTAAGTCTTGGTTTCCTGTTGTCCGTTTCTGATCACCCATCAGCGCTAAGTAACTGTTAAGTCTTGGTTTCCTGTTGTCCATATCTGATCACCCATCAGCGCTAAGTAACTGTTAAGTCTTGGTTTCCTGTTGTTCATATCTGATCACCCATCAGCCCTAAGTAACTGTTAAGTCTTGGTTTCCTGTTGTTCATATCTGATCACCCATCAGCGCTAAGTAACTGTTAAGTCTTGGTTTCCTGTTGTCCATATCTGATCACCCATCAGCGCTAAGTAACTGTTAAGTCTTGGTTTCCTGTTGTCCATATCTGATCACCCATCAGCGCTAAGTAACTGTTAAGTCTTGGTTTCCTGTTGTCCATATCTGATCACCCATCAGCGCTAAGTAACTGTTAAGTCTTGGTTTCCTGTTGTCCATTTCTGATCACCCATCAGCCCTAATTAACTTTTAAGTCTTGGTTTCCTGTTGTCTATATGTGATCACCCATCAGCACTAATTAACTTTTAAGTCTTGGTTTCCTGTTGTCCATATCTGATCACCCATCAGCGCTAAGTAACTGTTAAGTTTTGGTTTCCTGTTGTCCATATCTGATCACCTATCAGCGCTAAGTTACTGTTAAGTCTTGGTTTCCTGTTGTCCATATCTGATCACCCATCAGCGCTAAGTTACTGTTAAGTCTTGGTTTCCTGTTGTCCATATCTGATCACCCATCAGCCCTAATTAACTTTTAAGTCTTGGTTTCCTGTTGTCTATATGTGATCACCCATCAGCACTAATTAATTTTTAAGTCTTGGTTTCCTGTTGTCCATAACTGATCACCCATCAGCGCTAAGTAACTGTTAAGTCTTGGTTTCCTGTTGTCCATATCTGATCACCCATCAGCGCTAAGTAACTGTTAAGTCTTGGTTTCCTGTTGTTCATATCTGATCACCCATCAGCGCTAATTAACTGTTAAGTCTTGGTTTCCTGTTGTCCATATCTGATCACTCATCAGCCCTAATTAACTGTTAGGTCTTGGTTTCCTGTTGTCCATATCTGATCACCCATCAGCCCTAATTAACTGTTAGGTCTTGGTTTCCTGTTGTCCATATCTGATCACCCATCAGCGCTAAGTAACTGTTAAGTCTTGATTTCCTGTTGTCCATATCTGATCACCCATCAGCGCTAAGTAACTGTTAAGTCTTGGTTTCCTGTTGTTCATATTTGATCACCCATCAGTGCTAAGTAACTGTTAAGTCTTGGTTTCCTGTTGTCCATATCTGATCACCCCTCAGCCCTAATTAACTGTTAAGTCTTGGTTTCCTGTTGTCCATATCTGATCACCCATCAGCGCTAAGTAACTTTTAAGTCTTGGTTTCCTGTTGTCCATATCTGATCACCCATCAGCGCTAAGTAACTGTTAAGTCTTGGTTTCCTGTTGTCCATATCTGATCACTCATCAGCGCTAAGTAACTGTTAAGTCTTGGTTTCCTGTTGTCCATATCTGATCACCCATCAGCGCTAAGTAACTGTTAAGTCTTGGTTTCCTGTTGTCCATATCTGATCACCCATCAGCGCTAAGTAACTGTTTAGTCTTGGTTTCCTGTTGTTCATATCTGATCACCCATCAGCCCTAAGTAACTGTTAAGTCTTGGTTTCCTGTTGTCCATATCTGATCACCCATCAGCGCTAAGTAACTGTTAAGTCTTGGTTTCCTGTTGTCCATATCTGATCACCCATCAGCGCTAAGTAACTGTTAAGTCTTGGTTTCCTGTTGTCCATATCTGATCACTCATCAGCCTTAATTAACTGTTAAGTCTTGGTTTCCTGTTGTCCATATCTGATCACCCATCAGCGCTAAGTAACTCCAAGAAACCAAGACTTAACTCCCAATATCAGCTTCATGATCCCAGTGTTTTCTCACAGATGACCAACAGGCAGTATACAAGATTTACAGGAGCAAGTGAAAGTCATGGCAAAAAATCAAAATGATAAAGTACATGATAATATACATATTAAGAGAATCATTTTCAAGCTTTGACAAAGATTATCTGTCCTGAATGAATTTATTTTATAATACCCGCTCCTTGGAGAGGGATTTTCAGCATCAGTTCTTGAGGGATAGATACTGGGTAATACACATTTTCGAGTTGCAAGTAGCCAATGCAAAGTCCTTGCAGGTCATTAAAAGTGTCAAAGTTATTGTGGATGGACAAAGGGTTCAGTTCAAGGGAAATAAAAACATTCCGCGATGGTTCACTGATCTGTGATTCCCAGCAAATCGCTCTAGCAAATAATCAATAAAACATCCGTACCATTGAGCTCCTGCTTTTGGCGATGTCAAAACACTTCTGTTTGGGGCTGACAAGGCCAGAACTGCCAGCAAAATGTTCTCCCCATGAATATCTCTCAGTATCTGGGAAAAAGAATATTACTAAGGCTAAAAAAATGATAGTCTTGGTTCTCAGGCATCGCCCGCATCATCCTAAAGTCCGCCGCACCTTTTGTTTTTATTTCCATTTTTTAAAAATAAAAAAAATCTTTACATATTCTGTATCTTGGACACACGACCCCGTCAGTGAAATGCTACAATATTTAAGAACATTGTTTTGTTTTGCCAAAGCTACATTGTATTGTAAAACAATTTTGGTTACATACCATCTTTAACCACCCCCAAAAAACAAAACATGGCCCACCTGCACAATATGTTTGAAAGCCATTGCCTGAGAACCAATACTTTTATTTTTTTAAGCCCAGGTAAATTGTAACAGTGTGCACTTAGTTACAATCCATACAATGCACTTAGTTTGGAATCCTAGCTAAATCCCTGACATGACAACAAATACTCACCCTCTTCCTCCTCCCCTTTGAGGAAGGCACCAATGGCTCCCAGGTAACCCTCATGTCTCAAGAACAGTGCCTGGATTTCCCCCTGAAAGTATGCAGGAGTACCCAGTTATCCCAACTGTTGTTACTGTACTGCAAAGTGAGTGGGTTGGGTTTAACGCCGCTTTTAACAGTATTCTAGTTATATCGCGGCGTGTCAGTTTAATGTGTGAGGAAAGCCCAAAGTGATGCAGGTCTCGGACGTTTACCACTTCAGCAAAACCAACGAGCACGGGTATGGTGCTGACAAGCCTAGAAACATAATCGGGGCGAACCGGGATTCGAACCCACAATCATAGGTTTCTGGTGTGCCCAAGGGATGCAACTCTGCACAGCGAATCGCGGCGTCTTAGATGACTGGGCCACCCGTGACCCCTGTACTGCAAAGATTCATGTGCACATATACAGTATGCTGCCAAGGAAGACATATACTGGCTGGCAAGCAGTTATCCTCAAGGACCAATTATTGCCAACACCCGATTACAGCTCTTATGATATCGGCTTGTTTTACTTTTCCATTAGAAGGGAGAAATATTTATCTGAAAATGATGAGCAAAACTGTATGGAAATATGAAAACACACCTGAGAAGCACCTTGCTCAAATACATCTGTAGAAAAGGTGAGGTTAGGTGAAATGGGGTTTAACGTTGCGTCCAAGATTATTGCACCTATATAGCGACGTGCATGTACGTGTGTGTGTGTGGCTGCTTGTACTAGTCCGGACCGATGCCAATTTATAGTGCTAACCCACTGAGATACCATGCCGCAGTTTAACATGAATACCCCACTCAGACACAGTATACTGACTCGGAGCCGACCAGTCCTTGTTTTAGCCCCTTAATGCCGAGCGCCAGACAGGGTAACAACAAGTACCATCTTTTAACGTCTTTTGGTATGACGCAGCCGGGGATGGAACACCGGACCTTCCGCTCTATGGGCGGACGCTCTAGCACAAGACCACAGAGGTGGTCCTGTAGAAAAGACACACAGAGAGTGTCACATAACTTGTTCGCGTAAACAAAGATCCAGCAACAAGGTGATGCTCATTTAGTTCAGGTATTACTTACAATCTGTCACTTCTTCCATTATATACAATTTAACAAACTAATGAAGCATGTTTTTCATACATGCATAACCAGAATGCACATCTCAATAAGAAGTGTTATTTATGAGGGTGTGTGGATCGAATTAGAAGAATATTGGTTTGTGTCTGTTGTCACATGACACATTGATAAAACATATCTTATCATATCAAATAAAATACCTGAAAATCAAATCAAACTTTTTCCTCAGAATATGTCACATTTGTCCATGGTTTCACAAACATCAAAGAAAGTGGTACAGTAAACTTTAGTTTAGTATTTTAGAAATAACAAAGATTTGGTTGGTTGGTTGGTTTGTTGTTTAACGTCACACTCAACAATATTCCAGCTATATGACAGCGGCCTGTAAATAATCGAGTCTGGACCAGACAATCCAGTGATTAATATCATGAGCATCGATCCACGCAGTTGGGATCAATGACATGCATCAACCAAGTCAGCGAGCCTGACCACCCGATCCCGTTAGTCGCCTTTTACGACAAGCACAGTCACCTTTTACGACAAGCATGGGTTGCTGAAGACCTATTCTACCCGAGAATCTTCACGAGTCAGAAATAACAAGGAAAACATGGTGATATCTGGTAGATATATATAAAGGAATATCATGGTAATTCATCTTCCAGCCAAGTTTGAACAATTCCTCTGAATTACAGTATTATGTCTTCCCAAACACTGGCTCTACCTAAGAGAGAGTGAGTGAGTGAGTGAGTATGGTTTTATGCTGCTTTTAGCAATATTCCAGCAATATCACGGCGGGGACACCAGAAATGGGCTTCACACATTGTACCCATGTCTGGAATCGAACCCTGGTCTTCGGCGTGACAAGCGAATGCTTTAACTACTAGGCTACCTGACCGCCCCACTCTACCTTAAACGAAATATGGTACTATTGCAAGTCTTCAAAACAGTCAAAAGGTATTGGCAACCTAGATCCGGACAACCACAAGATATTCCCTGACGAATTGAGAGTCCATTAGGATTAGGTTTTAACTATCTTCCAAGAGGGGGTAGCCTAGTGGTTAAAGTTTTCGCTTGTTAAGCCAGACCCTGGTTCGATTCCCCACATGGGTACAATGTGTGAAGCCCATTTCTGGTGTCCCCTGCCATGATCTTGCTGGAATATTGCTAAAAGCGGTGTAAAACCAGACTCACTCACTCACTCACTATCTGCCAGGACATTCACCTCCTCAATATGTACACAATCAATATGGAATCCAATGGCATACCTATAGGACAGGTGAGACTCTAAAGAACCTGCTGTACATGTATGAACAATGTTGATACAAACACCTACCTTTGACCAGTAGTTGATGGCAAAAGTTATAGTGTGCATACCTATAGGACAGGTGAGACTCAACAGGACCTGCTGTGAATGTGTGGTCAATGTTGATACAAACACCTACCTTTGACCAGTAGTTGATGGCAAAAGTTATAGTGTGCATACCTATAGGACAGGTGAGACTCAACAGGACCTGCTGTACATGTATGAACAATGTTGATACAAACACCTACCTTTGACCAGTAGTTGATGGCAAAAGTTATAGTGTGCATACCTATAGGACAGGTGAGACTCAACACGACCTGCTGTACATGTATGAACAATGTTGATACAAACACCTACCTTTGACCAGTAGTTGATGGCAAAAGTTATAGTGTGCATACCTATAGGACAGGTGACACTCAACACGACCTGCTGTACATGTATGAACAATGTTGATACAAACACCTACCTTTGACCAGTAGTTGATGGCAAAAGTTATAGTGTGCATACCTATAGGACAGGTGACACTCAACACGACCTGCTGTACATGTATGAACAATGTTGATACAAACACTTACCTTTGACCAGTAGTTGATGGCAAAAGTTATAGTGTGCATACCTATAGGACAGGTGAGACTCAACAGGACCTGCTGTACATGTATGAACAATGTTGATACAAACACCTACCTTTGACCAGTAGTTGATGGCAAAAGTTATAGTGTGCATACCTATAGGACAGGTGAGACTCAACAGGACCTGCTGTACATGTATGAACAATGTTGATACAAACACCTACCTTTGACCAGTAGTTGATGGCAAAAGTTATAGTGTGCATACCTATAGGACAGGTGAGACTCAACAGGACCTGCTGTACATGTATGAACAATGTTGATACAAACACCTACCTTTGACCAGTAGTTGATGGCAAAAGTTATAGTGTGCATACCTATAGGACAGGTGAGACTCAACAGGACCTGCTGTACATGTATGAACAATGTTGATACAAACACCTACCTTTGACCAGTAGTTGATGGCAAAAGTTATAGTGTGCATACCTATAGGACAGGTGAGACTCAACAGGACCTGCTGTACATGTATGAACAATGTTGATACAAACACCTACCTTTGACCAGTAGTTGATGGCAAAAGTTATAGTGTGCATACCTATAGGACAGGTGAGACTCAACAGGACCTGCTGTACATGTATGAACAATGTTGATACAAACACCTACCTTTGACCAGTAGTTGATGGCAAAAGTTATAGTGTGCATACCTATAGGACAGGTGAGACTCAACAGGACCTGCTGTACATGTATGAACAATGTTGATACAAACACCTACCTTTGACCAGTAGTTGATGGCAAAAGTTATAGTGTGCATACCTATAGGACAGGTGAGACTCAACAGGACCTGCTGTGAATGTGTGGTCAATGTTGATACAAAGACCTACCTTTGACCAGTAGTTGATGGCAAAAGTTATAGTGTGCATACCTATAGGACAGGTGAGACTCAACAGGACCTGCTGTACATGTATGAACAATGTTGATACAAACACCTACCTTTGACCAGTAGTTGATGGCAAAAGTTATAGTGTGCATACCTATAGGACAGGTGAGACTCAACAGGACCTGCTGTGAATGTGTGGTCAATGTTGATACAAAGACCTACCTTTGACCAGTAGTTGATGGCAAAAGTTATAGTGTGCATACCTATAGGACAGGTGAGACTCAACAGGACCTGCTGTACATGTATGAACAATGTTGATACAAACACTTACCTTTGACCAGTAGTTGATGGCAAAAGTTATAGTGTGCATACCTATAGGACAGGTGAGACTCAACAGGACCTGCTGTACATGTATGAACAATGTTGATACAAACACCTACCTTTGACCAGTAGTTGATGGCAAAAGTTATAGTGTGCATACCTATAGGACAGATGAGACTCAACAGGACCTGCTGTACATGTATGAACAATGTTGATACAAACACTTACCTTTGACCAGTAGTTGATGGCAAAAGTTATAGTGTGCATACCTATAGGACAGGTGAGACTCAACAGGACCTGCTGTGCATGTATGAACAATGTTGATACAAACACCTACCTTTGACCAGTAGTTGATGGCAAAAGTTATAGTGTGCATACTGTAAACAGGGAAATTTTTGCGACCGTTTTATTATTTCGAGTTTTGCGAACGAGACTCAATCGCAAAAATTAAAAACGCAAAAATAAGTATAAATAATACATACATACTTTATTCATTGCAACACGTCATCAAATGTTGAAATAATCAACCAGAACCACAAGTTACTCAATAAGTTAAAAACACAAATGAATGCAGAATGGTCACACAATAAATCACAAATGACAGTGTAAACAGACCAGTCAGTGTCACTGTTACCTCACAGTAATCCTGCCTTCTTCCAACCTCGCTTGATTGCGTCAGTGTCCTTTGCAATTTTGTCCACAATTTTGTTTGCATTCAAACTCACAGTCATGACACTGAGTTGAGTCAATTATCGTATATGATAATTGGTCGCAATCCTTTCCGGTCAACTTTCCGGCCAACTCAGATTAACTAGCTTTCGAGAGAAGCTGTCTATTGTTTGGTAATCGAGAGGTCACCTCAACACGGCAACTCGCAAAAATATCTCGTCGCAGTATTGTCTTTGGTGTGGTATT